ATAAAGCTGATTATGATCTTTGGGCTGCTCAAGATCCTGAATACATTATTTGGAATTATGATCACTGCCTTGAAGGTAAACATTAAATAAATACATTCTAATTCTTGTATAATATATTTTTTATATTTTACTTACATAAAAATTAATTTTTAAACAATTGCATTTAAACAAAAGCTTTCAAAGCAGTTGAAAATAATGCTCGTAAAAATCCAGACGTAGAATTTGAAAATTATCATGGGTTCAATGGTTTGCTTTATGTACAAGATCCAGCAGTTGATGAATTTGATATTTCTAAAGATGTTTTTAAAGTCGCAAGAACATTTGGTATTCCTTATAATAAAGATTTCAATGGCGCTAAACAAAATGGAGTAGGAAGATACCAAGTGAGTGTAAATAAAATTTTATAAACGTATTATGTGTTATGCTTTTAATATTGTTTCGAATTTTAATACAAATAGCTTATGATGAAAGATGGAAAGCGCTTTACATTGGCTGATGGTTATTTGAAAGATGCATTGAAAAAGGTTATGGTTTATCCTTCAAAACCATTTATTAAAGGATATCCTCATGTACCAGGCGATGATAATGTTGGCAAGTTTGTGGGAGTTAATGTTAAATCCTTTACTCACGTGTTAAATATTATTTGGAAGGAAGATGAAAATGTTGCAATTGGCGTGAGATATTCTTATTGTGGTAAAGATCACAATTGTTATATTGCTCCAAAAGGTGAAGTTATTATTTGTGGTGGTGCTATTAATAGTCCGCAGGTAAGACTTAAGAAGAATAATAATTTGTTCATGATTAAGCTGACGTTATGTATTTTGATAAAAAAATTTTTTTAAAAAAAAAGATTCTAATGCTCTCTGGAATTGGACCAAAAAAAAATTTAGAAGATAATAATATCAAAGTTCGTAAAGAATTACCAGTTGGACATAATTTATGGGATCATCCTTTATGTATCATTACTGCCTCGGTTTCTGTTCCGGGTAGTACAACTGGTTCTATATTGAATTATTCAAGTTTTGGAGTAGATTTTATATCTTTTTATAAAGGTAACATTGAAGGAAAGATTCCTAGTCAAGAAGAATTTAATGATGAACGTCCTGACATTCAACAATATTGTAAGTTAATATCTTGATAAATATATTGGTTTTTTTTTTTGGAATGTTGTAAAAAAATATGCTTAAAAGTAATTTATTTTATAATTTATAATTTAATAGCGGTAGCAGCCTTATTTGATCATGGCATTCTTGATGAGCATCCAACTGATGAAAAAGATTTTTATTCCATGTCAACGACTCTTAATCTTCCATCAAGTGTTGGTCATTTGGAATTACGTAGCTCTGATCCATTTGATCACCCAAAAATATTTCTTAATTATTATGATAAACCCGAAGACTTGTATAGAATGATGAGTAGTCTTAAATTATCACGTAAAATACTTGAACAACCTCCATTAAGTACTTATTGGGGTGTAAAAGTAATTGGATTAGATGAAGTGAATGATGATAAAGAATGGGAAAAATACATTCGTAAAAGGGTAAGTATAAAAAATATATCTAATGTATATTGTTAAGGTAAAAAGAATATAATTATTAATATTTGCTTCCCTTATAGACAACATCAGCCCATCCATGTGGTACAGTAAAAATGGCACCAGAATCTAAAGGAGGGTGTGTCAATCATCGCCTTCAAGTTTATGGAACAAAAAATCTTCGAGTTGTTGATGCTTCAATTTTTCCAACTATTCCAGCAGGTAATATTAACGCTCCAACTGCTATGGTCGCATGGAGAGCAAGTAAATTAATTGAAGAAGATTATTGTAAAAAAGTTTGATTTTTCTGTAATTTAGAATGCTGTTATAAAATAAAAGAACCTTTTTTCCATAAAAAATTCTCTAACTTTTAAATACAACTTATCGAAGTGATTCAATATTTTATTGACAAAGTGCGTGAATTTTTTTTCACGTGGTTATATTATTTTTATTTCTGAAGAATGGAAAGATCAATGAAACAATCTTGGGATTCTTAATTCCCAAATACTATAATTATGATTTTAAAGTTTTCAATGCAACAGCTATTCGGTGAGCTTATAGGAATTATAAGCAGAGACTCAAATATTTGGCAAAACAAATTTGGGAGTGCTGAGGAATAATGGTACTTCTGATGATAAGAAATATTTAGGTGTTATTTTCCAGAAGATAAAATCCTTATAAAAACATGATTTTGTAGTACTAAATTATTGCTATGATAAATAAGTAAAGGATACGGTTATCCAGAATATTATTTTCCAGTACGTAATTCTTATGAATGGAAATTAAAAAGAAAAAACAACCATGGAAATGATTAGGAAATGCAGTACACATCTTTATCTCGAATTTATTATATTAACAAGGTTATATAATTATTGAAGGTACCGTATTGCGCGGAACTAAGAACCTCTGGTACTTTCCAAGGAACAATACCTAATTTTAATTATACCATGGTACTAATTTTTAATATTACAGGGTGGTATTTTGTTAGAAGAATAGTATTATTATTATATAAAGCAATATGTATTATAAATCAAATATTTACCGTATGATCGAACTTTAAGTTTAATTCGAGCTGAAATTAAAATAATATATATAGATATTATTTTAAACAATGTGTATACAATTACAATGTTTAAAAAATTACTGTTCACCTTTGAAAATATTTATACTTTATTAATTATTTTATGCATGCTTTATAATACTACATATAAAAAAAATACAAATTATGAGAGTATACTATAACTTAATCTAGAAATTTTATAATTATGTATTTTTAAAAAAAATTTTCAATACAATTGTTCAAGGTAAATGAAAATTTTTATTGATTACTAAAGAAGTGAATAAAGTATACACCTCTAATATAAATTATCAGAAATCAACAATAAATATATGACTAATCAAAAAAGTAAATATCATTTATTTCTTTTTTTGACACAAGTACAATTAACGATTTTGCTTATAAAATTTAAATTTTTTATGGATTTTTTTGATAAAAAAAATATAAGGCAATGAACTAACAACTGAAAAAAAAAGATCAAATAATTGTCACTTATCTTATAAGTTTGAATGAATTAAAAATATCAGTTATACTAAATATTCCTCATGTAACTGTATATAATATTATTAATCATTATAAGAAATATAATTTTCCATATCCTAAAAAAAGATCTGGTTAATCTAAAATTTTCTTTGAACATGAACAATGTTTTTTACAACAGATTGTTTTGAAGAACAGATTTTTACCTTTTGAAAAAATTATAAAAAAATTTAATTAAAGCCTTAATATAATATTTTATCCTAAAACTATTCATATATATTCCTATAAACTTGGTTTTAGAGGTTATGCTATATGTAAAAAACCAATAAACAATATATTTCTTAGTTGAAATGATGTCAAATTAAACCTAATAAAATAAAGAATAGAAAAAAATTATTTGGTCTGATAAATTCAGATTTACTTTATTCAAATCTAATAAATAAGTAAAAGTATAAAGAAGGATAAAAGAGGCTTATAATAAAAATTATATTAAGCCTACAGTTAAATTTGATAAAAAATCTATTATATTTTAAAATTGTTTTAGTTGTTATGGGATTAAACTGTTAATAATAATAAATGAAATATAAATTTTGATATATATATTAATGTTCTTGCAAATTATTTAATACCATATATCTTTAATAGTCCAAATATAATATTTCAACAGGACTTGATATCATGTCACATATTTTCTTATATGAATTGGTGAATAAAAACATATAGTATTCCTGTTTTAGATTAGGTTTCACAAAGTTCAAACTTGAATTCAATTGAAATTTTGTAGAATCATCTTGATTATCAGATTCGAAAAAGAAAATCTTTACCTAAATCAAAACAAGATTTAATTAAAGTTGTACATGAAGAGTGAGAAAATATTTCTATAGAAACTTTACATAATATAATTTTAAGTATTTTGAAACATATTAAAAATATTATTAAGATTAGAGGTGAACATATTAAATATTAGTTTTCTATTTTCAATATTTTTTTTATTAAAAATAAAATATATTTTTTTAATATTATAGAAAATTATTTCATTATTAAATAAAAAAAAATTCTTTATTTAAATTTTAAGAATTATTATTTTTTTTGTTATTATTTATCACATAATAATTTTCAGTAATTTATATTATGTATATATATATAATATTATTAAAGAGAGAAGGAATATATGAATCCTAAGCTATTTAATATAAGTCTCAACATTAAGTTATTTCTTTACTCTTATATTTTTGAAAAATATTTTTAGATAATTTATTATTAACTATGAAATTCTTATTCTATAATTTTTTTTAATACTAGAATTCTGAAATAAACTAATATATATTATTTTCACCTAATAGACTATGTAATAGATTATTTCTTATAAGAGAATTTTTTCAAAATAAAATGATTTTGAAGCTATAAAAAGAATCCTTAAAATTAGTAATAAATTAATTTAGAATTGAAAAAGATTTTATATATCAATTTTTGAATTAATTATATTTATTAAAAAAAAATTGATAATATTAAATACTTAATTCTATATATTCTATCTATTAATTACTATTAAACAAATTTTCATAATTATTTTCTTCTTGATTTTTTAATTCTTTTATATTATTAACCATTTTATTGTTATTTTTGTTTATTAAATTAAAGTAATTTAAAAGAACTTTATAATTAAATAATTCTTTATTTTTAATATCATCTATATTTAAACTAATATTACAATACTTAAAAGAATGTTTAATTAAATCTATATTAATCATATCTCCAAAATTTTTTATTCATTTTATAACTAAAGAATATGAATGTCATTTAATTCTTCTTGCTTTTGTAAGTTGATATATATTTTTTGATATCCAATTATTATAATAATCATAAAACTATTATTATATAAAAATATTAGTAAAAAAAAAAAATTTTTTTTAATAATAATTTTTTTATATCTTTACTTTAAAACTTCGATTAATAGCCATATCCAAAGATTATAATTAAGGTGTTAAATCATTAGAAATAATAGCAATATTTATAGACTTTTCTAAAGGTTAAGTTTTAATTTTATCTATTAAGTATACTCTAAAAGAATTTAATATTAATAAAGAATTCAAATTTTCTAATATATTATATTTTATCCATATATTTTCAATTTACCATATCATTTCTTCTTCATTAATCCATCTTTTAATATTGGTTTAAATATAAATATTTGATGGAAATTGCTTATATAATATATTTACTAATTTAAAAATACATATAGAAAGTAACCTAATTCTATTTGCCATATATAAAAGAATTACTATAAAAGAAGATTTTTTATATTCTGTTATTTAGATTCTAATAATTTTATATTACAATACTCAATTGTAGTTATACTTAAAAAATCAAATGTAATAGATGTCTTATCCATGTTTTCAATGCACTATAATAAATAATTATGTTAAAAATATTAATAAAATATAAAACTTAAAAAATGTTGTTTTTTTAGGGGGCTAAGTGCAATACATGCGAGACTTTATTTAATCATTTTTGTAGATTATATGGTCAACATATAAACAGTCTAGTTTAACTGATGCTACCTACCTATTTCTACCCAAATACCAAAAAAATATTATTTTTTTTTTTCAGAATCTTGTGAAAGATATTATGAAATAATTATATAATATTGATTAGATAATTCATAATATATAAAAAAACCATCCAACCATTTATTAGAATATTTAAATGGTACTAAATATATATTTTTAAATTCATTAATATCTTTAATTTTTTTAGCTTTTTTGATTAACATTTTTCTAATAACAATATAATCTGCACTTCTTTATATTTGAAGCTATTCAAATAATTTATCTTTAATTAATAGAATTCTCAAAAGTCTTCATTTGATAAGTTTTTGTTGATATGGTAAAGCTTCCATAAGTTTGTTTTTTTTCTTTAATTAATTTTTACTTGATTTCATTCAATATTAAATTTTATTGCTACAATATGAATACTTTCTTTAGTTGTTTATAATAATGAATAACTATTAATTTTTCTCTTGCAAATCAATTGTGATGTTTTTTTTTAGTAAATCAAAATTTTCTAATAGTTTTGTTACTATGTATAACCATGGTTCAATATTTAAAAAAATAAAAATATCAATTTATATTAAAAATGAAAAAATTATTTAATTTTATTTCTTTGTTAAAATTTTTACAAAGAATAAAATAAATAATTATACTCTTAATAATAATATGAATAATTATTTTTAAAAATAAGTAATGATTTTTTAAGCATTATAATTATACTGTAATTCCAAAAATTATATTGTATAGAGGATGCCCATATTATTGTGGACACTTTTTATTATACAATAAAAAATTTTTTTAATAAAAAAAATTAAATTTATTATACCAAAATTAAATTTATATATTATAAAGCATATTATATTTAAATTTCAAGTAATTATAATAATTTACTCAAAATCTATAATAAAAAACTTTAAAGGTATAAATTATTATCAAACTGAAAATCAAGAAACTATTATTTATTTATTTATTTATTTTTTCTTTATTTATTTATTTATTTTTATTTTTTTTTAATAAATATATAAATGAAAACGTGTTAATTTGTATTATTATTTTTTTTAATTTTTTTAAATAAAAAAAATCATGTTTTTATCTTTTTTTAGCTAAAAAAACAAGAATCGGATTTAATGGGCAGTGAAAAAGATTTGACCATTGCACAAAAAGGAGCCATTATCTATGGTTACCTTAAAGAAGATTTATATTGTGTTATTATCAC